AAAGTGCCTTTTGTGCAGCCGTCCTGAGGGAAGCCACAGCCCGGTGTGTCAGAACGGGAGTCGGGGCACCGCGGGCACCTGCGAGCCCGCACACGCCGCCCCACCTCGGGGCTTCGCGCCATTACTTGGTCTGTAACAGACAGAAAAGGAGTAAAGATAATGGCTTGCTAAGTGCCCGCCTTGGATTATCTTCTGGCCCAAATGTCATAAATCCCTAAATCAACTTGAAAATATCTGTCACACAAAAGGGCCCCAGACCGGAGAGTTTCAGGCAACGCTGACATTTCGACATTCAAGGCTGATGTCGGTCTCCGCCTACAGCTCCGAGTCTCTCCTTCCATAGCCATGATGCAGTTTGGGGGGAAAGGTTGTATTATTTCATGCCACATCACAGAAGTGGCAACCAGGCATGATACAGAGGCAAACAATAGAGATTTCTGAGTTAATTAAAATGAAGAGGAGAAAAAACCAGGTCAGGCGAGAGCTGTGTTGTCACTGGTGGTTGGAAAAGGGACGCAGTGAATGAGGGAAAGGAGAAAAGAAGGTGAGCTGGCCCTGGCCGGTTTGGCTCAGCGGTTAGAGCGTCGGCCTGCGGTCCAGAGAGACCCGGGTTCGGTTCCCGGTAAGGGCATGTACCTCGGTTGCAGTTTGTCCCCGGCCCTGGTTGGTCGTGCGGGTGGCAACCCCTCGATGTGTCCCTTTCACATCGATGTTTCTCTCTCTCTCTTCCTCTCTCTCCTCCCGCTCTGTTTGAACAAAAAGTGTAAAAATGTGCTTGGGTGAGGATAAAAAAAAAAAGGTGAGCTGACCAGACCTCAGCAGTGTCAGGGAAGCAAATGACAAGAGAGAGGGTTCATTCATTCAGTCAGTGATTGAGCACCTACTGTGTGCCAGGCTCTGTGCTGGGGAAAGTAAACACAGTCCCTGCCTCATGGAGAAGACAGCTCAGTAAGGGAAAGAAAGAAGCCAACGGTGACAAATGATGTGACGAAATAAGCAGGGGCTGCACACAGCACCAGGCCGGGGGCTCACAAAAGCCTTCCAAGGGGGATACCTACTCCTCAGACTCCAAAGAGGAGGCGGAGTTAGCCTGGCATCGTGGGGTGGGGGAGGCACAGGGCAGAAAGGCCAGGCTGGAGAACAGCAGGTGTGGGGGCTCAGGGAGTACACACAGTGTACAGGAGGACACTAGATCGAAAGGCCTAGAACAAAGAACACAAGAAGGACAGTGCTGGGCTATGCTCTCCATGGCTGAAGGCCACTGAACAAGGCCAGGATGTGCTCAGCCTCATCCTTAAGAGCAGAGCCTCCTGATCACACACCGTGCCCAAATTTCCCAACTTGGTTGCAGATATCACACAGGCTAAGAGGTATGGCTGTGACATGACAGTGACTCTGGGTATGCAGTTGGACAGTAAAAGCTGAAACCAAACCCTGGCTGGTGTGGTACAGGGTTAGAGCATCAGCCCGCACACCAAAGTGTTGTGAATTCAATTCCTGGTCAGGTTTAATCCCTGGCCCAGTCAGGGTATGTGTGGCAGGCAACCAATCAATGTGTCCCTCTCACATCAAAGTCTCTCTCTCTCTCTCTCCCTCCCTCCCTTTCACTCTCTCTAAAAATCAATGGAAAAATATCCTTGGGTGAGGATTAATAAAAAAACAAACAAAAACTGAAATCACAATTATTAGATTTCTTTAAATTTTCTTCAAGAAAAACTTTTGCACTGAGTTCCCTTGTGCACATGTGTGTGCACACACGCACGCACGCACACACTCACTCAGGTCTACTATTCCTGAAACTCCCCTATTATATATTAAGAGGAGCCTCCAAGCATTGCAAAATCATTTTGGGGAAAGGTTACCAGTTTTTTATTTTGGTACATGCCCCTAGCGGGAACCGAACCCAGGACTCTCGGGTCCACAGGTCGATGGGCCAATCGCTGAGCCAAACCAGCCAGGGAGATAGGTTACCAGTTTTATAACTGCTTGCTGTTATTGAAAAAACCTCTGATGAATCAGATCAACTGGACTTCTCAGTTACAAATCTGCTCACACATAGCCTTCGGGGCACTTGTAACGTGAGACTTAAGAGGACTCTCTTTAGTCCTAAATCATCCACCCTCCCTGTCTAGCATCTTGGTTGCGGCAGGCTCTCCTAACCAGAGACCTGTCAGGAGCCAGCTGAGCCATGTCCATCCAGTTAGTGTCTTACGTTTTTTTCAACCATAATTATTCCCCCTGGTAGACAGAGGCATTCGGGGGGACCAGGCAGCAGATGGAGTGCAGTGAGGTGTGCAACAAGGTGTGCAGAGAGGAATGCAGTGAGGTGTGCAGCGAGTTGTGCAGTGAGGTGTGCAGAGAGGAAAGTAGTGAGGTGTGCAGCAAGGTGTGCAGTGAGGTATGCAGCAAGGTGTGCAGAGAGGAATGCAGTGAGGTGTGCAGCGAGTTGTGCAGTGAGGTGTGCAGAGAGGAAAGTAGTGAGGTGTGCAGCAAGGTGTGCAGTGAGGTATGCAGCGAGGTGTGCAGAGAGGAATGTAGTGAGGTGTGCAGCAAGGTGTGCAGTGAGGTGTGCAGAGAGGAATGCAGTGAGGTGTGCAGCAAGGTGTGCAGCCAAGTGTGCAGTGAGGTATGCAGGGAGGTGTGCAGGGAGGAGTGCAGTGAGGTGTGCAGAGAGGAATGTAGTGAGGTGTGCAGCAAGGTGTGCAGCCAAGTGTGCAGGGAGGTGTTCAGTGAGGTGTGCAGCAAGGTGTGCAGGGAGGTGTTCAGTGAGGTGTGCAGCGACGTGTGCAGGGAGGTGTGCAGGGAGGTGTGCAGTGAGGAGTGCAGCGAGGTGTGCAGCGAGGTGTGCAATGAGGGGTGCAGTGAGGTGTGCAGTGAGGTGTGCAATGAGGGGTGCAGTGAGGTGTGCAGTGAGGTGTGCAGCGAGGTGTGCAGCGAGGTGGTTCTGCATCTGGTGCATAGAAGGAAGGACCTGAAGCTCACACATCCATATCCCTCTTAACTCCAGACTTCCCACAGCAAACTAAGTAGTAAAATCTCCTTTCGATTCTATTCAGCACCCCTGGTCACATGGGTGATATTTTGTGACTGCCCACCCTCTTTCAGTTAGCCCTTGATGTTCATTTTGGCCTGATCTCATGAGGACACAAATTCTGGGTTGTCAGGGACAGGGGCTGAGCGTGAGAAGCAGATAAAGTTTTACTGTGATTTGTCTTAAAGTCCCTACAAGCCCTGGTTACAGCCTTCTATCCAGAGATGGTCCTGATAGAAATAATACTGGATTGTTTGCCCAAAAATAATAAGTGTTATGATTAAAGCTAACTCGCTCTTCACTGTCACCTTAGAAAACCAGAGCGATGCCCAAACCAGTAGTGACTATTTCTTCTACCACTTTATGCCTCCAGTGCCTTGCCCAGCAGGTATTTGTGAACATGTATTGATGCTACATTGTGAATAATCAATACCAGTGTCTGCATGTAGAGAAGAAGGAATTTCAAGAAAGCAAAGATCTAGAAGCACAGGCACAGACTCCCCCATATAGGGCACACCTCACCACGTGACTGCTCAAGGGAACCCACTTGATGAAACCAAACATAAATCTGACTCACATCCCACAGACCCTTTCGATGAGGGAACCTATTCCTCTCTAGCATCCCAAGCATTCATCCTATAGATTTTAGGGATCCTTGTTGGAAAAATATGCATCATCCTATAGATTTTGAGACTCCATCCTTTCTGTGGGAAGACGTCACTCGGTAGCAGAGACTTGGGGGGACCAGATGGCTGGTAAGCAAGAGGCTATTCTCAATCCAGGGCCAACATGAAAGCTGAAAGCCAGAGCCCAAATTTAGTTTGAAACCTGGTACCCAACAGCATAAAGTTAGCAACTCCCTTGAACCATCTGGCTCTTTTAAATAAATACCTGTCTGTCCAATCCTAGAATGGAAAGAAACCTCAAAGTCTAGCTCCCTTTCCAGACACAACATCTGTGCTGTCATGGGGTGCCCAGCAGCCACGAGAGATGCTTAACACGGACCAGCTTACTGAGCCTAGATTAATGGCTGCCAATCCTAAGGTCTTGGACGTTCTTTGGAGTTTTTCTGATTCCACGCCTCTTTACTCCTTTTCCCTCCACCAAATTCTTTTGTAATGACCCTGCCTGTGGCTAGAACATACACACATACACACACGTACGTATCCCTATCTAAGATGTCTCAATGTATCAATGTCCTTCTGTCAGCCCTCTCATTGACATACACCTCTTCACTTTTTATCATCTTTCTCTTTTGACAGTGATACAAGTTATCTATAACCCCTAAAAATCAACATTTCACCCCCCTCTGTGAAGTCACCATTCCTAAATATTATGAACTATGCTGTCACCCAGAAAAATCAATGCTATCATTCACCCAACCCCCCGTATCCATCCATCACATGGCCACTGCACACGGGCTTCCCATGTGCTAACTCTACCTTGATCTTTTACCTCGACTAGAAATGGCCTAACCTAACCAATCTCTTCAGTTGAGTCTTCTGCCCTTGGAAACAGAAATGGAGGATGACAGTCTGGAGTAGGAGGGTTGGCAGTTGAAATCACAGGAAAGGAGAGAGACATAGGACCTCCCTTAATGGTTTCCCCTTTCTCTCCCATCCAAAGGCCCTGCTAAAGAATAAATGAGATGATGTGCAATGCACTCAGTAAACTCTTCAAGCCCAATACAAATGTAACCCAATAGAACTCTTCGTTTTTTTTTTCACAAACAAAATATTTAGCACAGAACCACAGTTCCCTCAGATGAGCCCCACCTCCATGGCACAACGGTTTAGTCTCGTCTTAGGGCCATCTTCAACCCACCCCCCCCATGCCCTTCACATTGCCAGACACAAGTTTCCATCCATTCTTCTTCAGAAAGTCCTTTGCTCTGTTCTTCTCATCCATTCTTTTCTTCCCTGAGCTTAGCCTGTGTCACCCTGACATGAGGTATGACTCTCGCACTTACCTAGGATCCATCCGCTCTCAGTTCAGGTCCTCCAAGAAGCAGATGCCGAGACAGGATCTGACACGCGAGATGTTGGCTGGGGGGGGGGGGGGGGGCAGGGAGGAGGCAGGGAGAGCGTGAGAGCACAAAGCAGGGGTGGCAACTCCGAGAGGGGGAGGAGATGGGCTGGAAGAGCCTCGGACCACAGAGCAGTGCTGAGGAAGTCTGTTGACGGCTGGGTAGCCTCCAAGCAGAGATCCGCACTGGATGGGTCCCGCAGGGCTGAAATGGTCCAGCCTCGTTACCCTCGCTATGCTCGGCCACTGACACGGGACAGGCCTGGGGAAGCATGGCCTCCGCATAAATATCAGGGTAATGGTGTAAACAGAGAGAAAGACTAAAAATTGACCTCTTCTTACACCATTCACAAAAATCAATTCCAAGTGGATGGTAGAACTAAACATGAAAGACAAAGAATTTAAAACAAAGAAGCAGCTTTTACAAAATGATACAGGAGAATGCATTTATGATCAAGAAAGGAAGCCTGCAAAACTTCAGATAAGAGAGGGAATCACTGGAATAATTAAAATTAAGAACTTTCATTTATCAAAATCAAGAACTTTTGTTTTGACAAGTAGAAAAGAATAAAAAGACAAACCAGAGTGAGAAGACATAGTTTTAATACATATAGTAAGTAAAAGGGCTCATAACCAGACTATATAAAAAAAACTACTAAAAGTCTATTAAAAATAAAACAGAGAACCCAGTAGGGAAAAAAAAAAGCTTGAATAGAGATTCCATGAAAGTGGACCTCCAAATAGCCAATAAACTTATGAAAAGGTGCTCTATGTCATTAAATCATGAGGGAAAGCACATTAAAACCACAATGAGATGTTACTAAACACTCACCTGAATGGTTAAAATTCAACTGAAACACCGAGCACTGGAAAGAACGTGTAGCAAAGTCCCGCGTGTTACTGAAAGGTGTGCAAATGCTTCAATCATTTTGCAAAATGGTTCTCAATGTCAACCACCAGGCTCACCCTGTGAGCCAGGAATTCCACTCCCAAGTATGGAAGTACCTAGAGGGGCATTACGTAAGACATACTACGTACGCCAAAAGGCACATACAAGACTGTTCACAGCAGCATTCGTGGTATGAAGCAAATGCCCACCAAGAGTCACATGGGAAACCAAACTATGGTATAGTCATCCTATGGCATACCATAGTGAAAATTAATGCATTAAAACTCCATGCAACAATACGAATGAATTTCACAAATACAATGCTGAGTGAAATATACTCTATGATTATATGAAGTTCAAAGACAGGTGAAACTAAAATTTGGTGTTGAGGGATTCATGTGGTTAAAAAGAAAAAAAAAAGCAAAGACACGAGAACCTGGACAGTCAGAACAGTGGTGTGACTGCCTTTAGGGAGCGAGCAAGGCTATCGTTAGGAAGGGTATGCCCGGCTCTGGCCTGCCGGCAACAGTCTATTTTTGACCCAAGAATTTGCTTTATAATAATTTAAAAACCTTACTATTCTTATGCATTTTTCTTAATTGTATTATATTTCACAACTTTTTAAAAAATAGCTTTTTAATTTAAAATTAAAAAAAAAAAAAGCCCTGGCCAGTGGGCTCAGTTGGCTGAGTGTCGTCCCATGCACCCATGCACCAAGGGGTCACCAGTCCAATTCCTGGTCAGGGCACATCTCTAGTAGGGGGCTTGCAGGAGGCAGCCGATAGATGTTTCTCTCCCTCTCCCTTCCTCTATCTCTGAAATCAGTAAAAACATATTTAAGGGGTGGGGGAGAATGAACCATATAGATAGACCTAGCCCCTGCTAAGTGCTTACATCTAATTATCTGATGGGGAATATTCGATAACCCTAGTAAAATGTAGGAAAGAGAATACCAATCACAAATAAGTTGATTTTACAATACGATAAAGCATTTTCATCTCTTTTTTAAAAAAACAGAAGGGATTATAAATAGAAACATCCTTTGCAGCAAAACTGTTTGCCTGGCACCCCGACTGCATAGAATCAGGCTGCCTGTGCCTCTTGCTTCTGCCTCCACCAGGTAAGGGCTCCCTTCTCGTCACCTGACCGGCAGTTTGAATTGCGAGGAAAGATGGCACCGTGACTCATGTTGGCAAGAGATGACGGATGGTTCATTTTACCACGGTGTTTTCGGTGCCACCTTGCAAAGGGTGCTTTCGGAACTCTGATAATTAACGGGTAAGCTGGCAGGCACTTTTTCACTCAAAGACATTTATTTCTTAATTAAAACGACATGCAAATGTTAACATTTATTAATTATATTACTAGCTCACAGCAGTATAATGAACTGACTTTAAAAGCTGAAAACGATACTGCCATCTTTCAGAAGCTGCGGCACTGGGTCTAAGTGGAAATGCGAAGTAGGAGAAGTTGTTCTTTCCAAGCCTCCTTTCACAGTACCCTCCCCGCATCTCACCCCTCGGGCTGCTTGCAGAGGGGGCTGCACTCCCTCTTCCCGGACCCTTCGCCCCCAGGGGCACATGAAGCGGGAGGAGTGGGGGGCGTTTGCTGGGAGGCAGCACGCATTTCATCGCATGTTTAGAATTCCAGCCCACAGCGAGGATAAAAGGTAGACCAGCTTTTAGATTATTGTTTTTCCGTTCTCCACAAAGATGTGCCCTCTTTCTGCCTGCTGGCACTGAAGTGATAAGAGGCTGGTGGACATCATCTGGCCAAGTCATGCCACCTAACTGGTCGCTTGGTGCCTCATCTGCAGCTGATGCTATGAGCCAGGCCCAGGCCAGGACGACATTGACTACCTGGTTTCTATTTGCCCTGCCCCCCAATCTTACAGAGAGCCCTGATAACGCTCTGGGTCCCAAAGAATCCATTTCAACTTCGACCGTGTATTGAGCTTTCATTTAAATCTTAGAACATTTCCTTTTCCCCAGTAAACAGTCAAGTCAATGACAGGAGGTTACTCTGGGGAAGGACTGGGAGAATCACTACCACATGCCCTGGCCCTAGTGCTAGAGAATCCTCCTATGGCCGGGACCATGGAAACCCGGCCTCTTCTTCAGCTTGTTTTGGATCTGGAAACTGGCTCATATCTGGGAATTAGGTGAAAGATTATGACTTTTTAAGCTGTGACAGTGGCCCTCAGCCTCCTGGCCATCTGTCCTTGATTGCTTTGATTGTGTGTACGAAGCAGCACCCATGGCACCCATCTATCTGGCCCCTAGACACTTCAGGTGGTTAACCCGTCTATCTGTTAACCATCTGAAGTGTCTGGTCCCCGTGGCGATCACTCTAACCTTGCCTCTCATTACAATAATAACTATGCTCCATCCTGCGCTGACAAACGAGTGCCACCTCCTGACCTCTATTCTGGGAGTCCGTCATCTCCATTTCTATAAAAGAACTCAGTTCTGTGACAGCATCTCCTAATATCAGCCCTGGCCTGCAGAGGAGAGTCACCACTGAGTTTGTCAATAGCGTTGGTGCTTCTCTCTTCCTACCTTATTACTCTGGTCAAGAGTGTCCTCAGACCTGCTCACCAAATACAGCTGTTGGTGAGTTTTCCATCTTTAGGGAGTATTTCCATGTGAGCACGTCCATGTCTCCGAGCCTCTTGGTCCCTTCTTTCACTGTCTGCAACAGCATTTCTGACATTTCTCCTTCAGTGAGCATGAACCATTGCTTTTTCCAAGCTCCCAAGAACTGTTCTAGCAGTGTACAAGCACCATTTCCCAGGGTCTTTGCCAAGATGTTAGATCCTATATCACGAGAGCATAGTCCCACATTGATAAGCTTCCATCTCTTGATCTAGAGCCCTCAGAATCCTTGCCCATCGACTCTCCCAGCTCCTGCCAGTAAGTATTCTTGCAGCTCCTTTAGCAGCCCTCCCGTAGCAGCCCCCGTATTTCTCCAGCCAAGTTATGTTATGACTCAACCCTATTGATTGGCCTGGTGGCATCATCTTGAAGTAAAAGGGAGTGCTGGCCTTTAACAGCGAGGGACGGGTGACTTCTGTGAGCCCAGCGGTTGAGAGGGATCTAGAGATTCAAGATGCCTGTCTCAGGATTTCACTCTGCCCCGCTCAAGGCCCTGACCTTGAAGTAGCAGACTTGACAATACTGAGAATTCAGACTCCTCAGGGACACGACTACTCTTATAATTAAGATCCGAGCCTGACCCTCAGATTACTCTACCGTCTGGCTGCAGCGCTCACACTTAGCCTGGAAGTGGTGGTTAATGCATTTGGCCGTCGTTGTCTTTCTTCGGTGCCTTGACTGCTCCTGTCTTCAGCCCTTCAACTCCGTCTTCCTTTTTTAAATTACAAGTTCCCCTCAACTGGCAAATGCCTGACACAGTACCCTGGCCAATGCACTCATTTCCATGGGCATGTTCCGGTCTACCTAGTGACATTCTTGAGAACCGCATCACTGCAGCGTGCCAGGCTGTCATGCTCCCCTCCAGCCGCGACGGGGCTTCACTGCCAGTCTGATGGAAGGTGAGCCATATAGTGTTCGGTACAGGTCTGGTGAATGGATGGAACACAGGGTATCTGGCTATTTGGATGGATGGATGGATGGATGGACGGACACATGGAGTTCTGCTAAATCCTACTTGGTCAGCCTGAGAAATAGCTGGAAACCACTGTCATTTCCTAACCAAGGAATAGAGATTCAAGATGCCTGTCTCAGGATTTCACTCTGCCCCACTCAAGGCCCTGACCTTGAAGTAGCAGACTTGACAAAACTGACAATTCAGACTCCTCAGGGACACTACTGAGAAGTAGTGGAAACCACTGTCATTTCCTTTAATAAGAGCACTCTACAATCAACAAGGATAGAAAAGGCAATTTTGTGGGGACTTATGAATTCTCAGTGATCAATGATAAATCAGTGACATCACAGTTGAAATGGACAATCATTACCCAAATATAAGATGACAATGAGCCCTGGCTGGTTTGGCTCAGCAGTTGGAGCGTTGGCCTGCGGTCTAGAGAGACCCGGGTTGGGTTCCTGCTGAGGGCACGTACCTCGGTTGCAGTTTGTCCCCGGCCCTGGTTGGGTTGTGCGGGAGGCAGCCACTCGATGTGTCCCTTTCACGTAGATGTTTCTCTCTTTCTTTTCTTCTCTCTCCCTCCCACTCTATCTAAACAAAAATGGAAAAATGTTCTCAGGTAAGGATAAAAAAAAAAAAAAGATGACAATGAAACACATCTAAATTCTAATGAACAGTCGGATTCATTGTTCAGCCAGAGGAGCCAGAAGAGACCCTCCTTCCGAGTCCCCCTGACCCGCTGGGCCCTGGGATCGAGTGAGTTTTAGGATCTAGGTCACTCCCAGCACTGCTTCCCTCAAGATATTTATGGTACAATCACCAGGCGAAGCCCGGGAAAATGAAGGGAAAGGGGGCATTTCTTAGCGTTGGACACCTCAGGCATTGTTTTCAGGCCCGTTCGGGATCACAGAGCCTCTGTGTTCTTCCCCAGTCTTTTGTCAAGTTGCCAGAGGAGCTTGGATACCTCCAGTCGTTAGGAAATCTTGCCATTCTGGAAATCGATACCCTTTTGTTCATTCCGCCTGCAGCGTGGAGACAGTCTGGCAGGTGGGAACACAGGTTGGCCCACTGGGGACTCGTGTACCTTACGGCTGTCAATTACCACTCAACAGTCCAATGAGGTGGTAGAATGTCTGTTCCTGGCTGATGATGGTCATGGGCTTTGTTGCTAAGGACATGTGCTCCAGCCAGAGTCCTGCAGTGTCCTGGGTCAAATTTGCCCCTTCACCACTGGGAAGAGGCTGGAAAGTAGGAAGAAGAGAGAACCCATCTTTTTTTCTGATTCTAGTGGTGGCAGCAGCAGCAACAGCAACTGGGGCAGTGACAGCGATGATGAAAGCAGTGATGGTGGTGGCAGCCATGGCAGGCGTGAGTGCGGCCTCCGGGGGCCCCGCCCTGGCAGCTGGTTCCGGCAGCAGCCTCAGCAGCACAGCAGTCGTGGGCTCTGGTGACACCATGCTCCCTGTGCACCCAGCCCTAGTGGGGGAGGGGCTCTAAGTGACCAAGC